ATAGTAGACCTTTGTCTGAGCTACAGCTGCTAAATATTTCTTCCCACATTATAGGTTGTCTCTTAGCTCTGTTGGTAGTTTCTCTTGCAGTGCAGAAGGTTTTTAATACGATGAGATCCCAGTTGTTGATTCTTTGTGCTAGCTCCCGTGCTACTGAAGATTTTTTGAACAAAATTAATATTATGAGCTGGGCGTGGTAGTGCCACCTGTAATCCTAGCACTCGGGAGGCTGAGGCAGAAGGATCGCCACTGAGTTCGAGGCCATCCTGGGCTACACAGTGAGTTCAGGGCCAGCCTGAACTACAAAGTGAGACCCTATCTCAAAAAACCAAAAAAAAAATTATGCTGTAGTACCTAGGTGTATAGGAGTTTATGGTACAAAAATTTATGAATACTGCCTTCATTCATAAAGCTAGGCGGGCATCGGAACCACTGAGCTAAATCCCCAGCCCGCCAACAATTATCTTAATTGAACATATTTATTTATTTGGAAAAGTAAAAGTTAAGAGTGAGAAACTGGCTCTGCAGAGCGAGCTTGGGCTGAGTAAAAGAGGAAAATGCAAGATAAAAGAACACCCTGGAGAAAGCAGGGTGGGCTATCATGAGGAAAGCCACAATAGCAACTCTTCTTGGCATTTGTATCTTTTTATACTGTCCAAATCTTGAGGAAACCTAGGAGAACTTTTATATCCAGGTCCTGAAAAGTGGTGATGGGATCCTACACGATGTCAAGTCTAGGCCATCCTATTAAAAACCTGCTTGAATTCTCGAGAGAAGTCCACATGCAGGGCTTTGGGAACTGAACTGAACATTTTTTAAAGAGTAAACTTCATATTACCTTTTATTTTCTATAGATAATCGTATTCCTATGTAACCTTTTGGATTGGTAGAATGTGAAATATTAAAACAATTTGTGAAAGGAGATGGTAGAAAAGAATAGTTTACACTCAGTTGTGAAATTGTAGGGTGTTTGTCCATGCATGTTTTAAAGACCCAGTTGGTACCACATTTACGTAGGTTTATATATTGCTTTACTTTTCTCCTAGGTAGACAAAACATTTTGTGATTTTTTTTTCCAGTGAGAATAGTAAAGATGAAAATTAATAGAGAAACTCTATTAGAGTTATTTCATTATTATTTAATATGATACTGGGATTGATATTTTTAGGTCTTGTGTCATATAGTTTAAACTGACTTCTAAAATTTTCTTCCAAAAGGTTTCACTGGAAGAAAAAAATGCAACCATTATTTATGACTCCAAGCTTCAGACTCCAAAGACCCTACAGGAAGCTATTGATGACATGGGCTTTGATGCTATTCTCCATAATCCTAGTCCTCTTCCTGTTTTAACTGATACTGTGTTTCTGACTGTTACTACTTCATTGGCTTTGCCATGGGACCATATCCAAGGTATATTGCTGAAGACTAGGGGTGTGACAGACATTAAAATTTCCCCTCAGCAAAGAACTGTAGTAGTGACAATAATCCCTTCTATAGTGAGTGCTAATCAGATAATAGAGCTGGTTCCAGACCTCAGTTTAGATATTGGAACTCTGGAGAAAAACTCAGGAAGTTGTGAAGATCACAGTATGGCTCAAGCAAGTGAAGTCATGCTGAAGATGAAAGTGCAAGGGATGACTTGCCATTCATGCACTAGTACCATTGAAGGAAAAATTGGGAAACTTCAAGGTGTTCAGCGAATTAAAGGTAATCTATCTGGTGTTACTGTGTTTGTTTTGTAAGACTTAGTTTTCTGTTTTGAACTTTTTAATGTTTCGCTTTCTTTCTAAGCTTGAGTTTAGAAACCATGGGACTAGAATCTTTACTGTTTCACTGAAGTTTGAGGCATTGCATATTCTCAGAATTACTATTGGTAAAGTTAGTGATTACAATTAAAGATTCCATGAGTCTTGACCTTTAGTTTAGCAGAAAAGGCAGCTATGTAGGGATTTATGTAGTTCAAGGTTCTTAACACAACATTCCTGGTGAACTCTTAACCTCTAATATATTTCTATTCAGGCACTCAGAAACTTGGAGACCATAGCAACAATGGTCATATCTTTTGTTTCTAATCTATGTCAGTCATATTTTCTGAAAAGGACAAAGTTATTTTAAGAGAAGATGAGAAGAATGAGAGAGAAATAATTATTGATTTGGAAGTAGCCCGAGAATAACCGAATTAAATATGTATCTTTTTATTATAGTCTCCTTGGACAACCAAGAAGCTACTATTATTTATCAACCTCATCTTATCACAGTAGAGGAAATAAAGAAGCAGATTGAAGCTGTGGGCTTTCCAGTATACGTCAAACAACAGCCCAAGCACCTCAAATTGGGAGCTATTGATGTAGAGCGTCTGAAAAATATACCAGTCAAATCTCCAGAAGGATCACAGCAAAGGAGTCCATCATATACTAGTGATTTAACAGCCATTTTCATCATAGATGGCATGCACTGTAAATCATGTGTATCAGATATTGAAAGTGCTTTATCTACACTCCAGTGTGTAAGCAGCATAATAATTTCTTTAGAGAATAGATCTGCCATTGTAAAGTACCGTGCAAGTTCAACCACTCCAGAAACACTGAGAAAAGCAATAGAGGCTGTTTCTCCAGGGAAATATACAGTTAGTATTACAAGTGAAGTTGAGAATGCCTCCAACTCTCTCTTCAGCTCATCTCTTCAAAAGAGTCCTTTGAACATAGTCACCCAGCCTCTGACTCAAGAAACTGTGATAAACATTGATGGCATGACTTGTAATTCTTGTGTCCAGTCTATTGAGGGTGTCATATCAAAAAAGACAGGTGTCAAATCAATCCAAGTGTCCCTTGAAAATAGAAATGGGATTATTGAGTATGATCCTTTACTGACATCTCCAGAAACCTTGAAAGAAGCAATAGAAGACATGGGATTTGATGCTACCTTGTCAGGTAATTATCATCTTTCCTTTGATTCCTCTAATGTTCTTTCATTTCCATTTTTCTGCTTCATTTGGCTTTTAGCAATGAAGAATGAATCACAGGCACTGAAATTCACTTTTTACAAATAAGTCCTATGGAGGTAGTCATTGATGCATACAAAGATGCTTAAGAATGTTTTCATAATTATAGTATTTTAAAATTACAAAACAAAATGCTATGAAGCTATAAAAATCATAGGGCTGGGGATTTAGCTGGGCTGGGGATTTAGCTCAGTGGTTCTGCTGCCTGCCTTGCAAGCACAAGGACCTGAGTTCGATCCCCAGTACCAAAAAAAAAAAATTATAATATTAAAGATATGCCTCAATAAAGTGTCTGAGATATTTGGTTAAATGAAAAAAAAAGCTGAAATGCTATATATTATGATCAAAATTTTATAAACAACTGTATGTGATTTATACCATGGATATATTACTTATGTATGAGAATGAGTTAAGATTCCTGGTGGGGCATGATCCAGAATTTTAATAATGGTTATCTTTGAGTGGTAGGCTAAAGATGATTTTTTTGGTTCCATTGCACTTTCCTGTGTCTTACAGTTTTTTTTTAAACCATAAGGATTATGTATGGAGGTGTTTACATAAAGGGGGAACCAAATGTTATTTCAAAAAGAATAAAGGGAGAAATAATAGGAGTTTTGACTGTGATTTTAAATTTAGGTGTTGAAATTAAATTGACTTTAGACTGTTCCAAAGTCTTTATATATATATATATATATATTTTTTTTTTTCCTCCCCAGTACCAGGGATCAAACTCAGGACCTTTTACTTGCAAGGCAGGTGTGGCACCACTGAGCTAAATCCCCGGCTCTAGTCTTTATATTTCTTGACAGCACTTATGTTTCAACTGAAAGCAAAAATGTATATTCAATGGAATTTGCCTATGTGAACTTTTTATTTTGTACTGGGAATTGAACTAAGTACCTCGCACTTGCCAGGCAGGTGCTATGCTGCTGAGCTACATCCCCAGCCCAAACTTGTTACTCCTTGTTTTGAACCCAAATTGAACCTGGCCTTGAATTAAATTGAAGAATCGCCTTAGTGAACTTTCTTGTTTTAACAACTAAAAATGTATGTAACTAATTTTTAGACAGTATCATTAATCTTTGTTTTCTTGATTAAAATGAAGCATATCAAATAGTAATACTCACTTTTTAAGGTCACTAAAACTGAATACAAAATTTATTAAACACATCATTCCATGGCCTTTTGGTTAAGACAAAATGTAAAAATTTTTTTAAGCACATGCTTAGATTCTAATGTAACATAAGTATTAGTGAGAAAGGACTCAGAGTCAAACCAAACTTAATTTTCATATTGATGACAAGTGGTAGAAATTATATAATTCTCACCTTTTTAAGTTGATATACACAGATTGAGCATCCCTAATTTGAATATCCAAAATTAGAGATGTTCTAAAATCTGAAATTTTTTGAGTACCAACATGATGCCAACAAAGTGGAAAATTCCACACCTGATCTCATTTGATGGGTTGCAGTGAAAGCACAGGTACATCAAAAATATTGAATATTGGATAAAATTACTTCCAGAATGTATGTATGAAGTATATATAAAACATAAGTGAATTTCATGTTTAGGCTTTTGCCCTAAGGGGCTGGGGATGTAGCTTGGTGGTAGAGTGCTTCCCTTCCATATATGAAGCCTTGGGTTCAATTTCTGGTATTAAAAAAAAAAAGTAGACTTGGGTCCTATCCCCAAGATATCAAATGTTTATGCAAATATTCTAAAATCTGAAGAAAAACCCCAAAATACGAAACACTTCTGGCCCCAACTATTGATAAAGTATATTTAATCTGTAGTTCACATACCATAAAATTCACCCTTTTTTCTTTTCTTTTTTTTGAGACAAGGTCTTACTATATATTCACTGTCTTTTATCTCAATCTACTATTGTCATGGACCCCATGAATCACTTATTCAGAAAGTAATTATAAGGAGCCCTTTATGTGCCTTGCATCTGGATTAAGGGTTTATAACAAACATATTCATGGCCATTATGGGTAGGTAAAAACAAACACACAACCCAAAACCTTGGCACAATGAATGTCGCCTTAAAAGAATTGATAAAGGTGTGACAATAATGACCCATATTATTGGGATAAGTAGTTGATATCAAATGTCTGCATCCTGTGGTTCCACTAGAGATCAGAGTTTAAGATGCCACTGGAATTGTGGTTATCAGTTTTAATTTTCCTTTTCTGAGTGATCCAACTCGCTTGTATGACCACTGTGACCTGTTCTCAGGTATAGGGCATGGCACCTTTTGCTTTCATGTTGCACCAAGTCCTGGGTGGGTCATAAATGTTAAAGGAAGTTTTGAGAAAAATGAGAGATGTAGTTTATCATGATAATCAATATCATCCTCTAAAAATAAAAAAGATGTAACATATGAAGTTGTCTTCACTAATTGAAGCAAACAAAATATTTGATTAAATTCCCACTCTTGATAGCTTTTTATTTTTAACTAATTTCAAACTTACAGAAAAGCTGAAAAAACAGTATAATGAATTTACCAATTTCACTCTATTTCTCAGTTTTTAATATTTTACCATCTTTGTTTTCTCATTCTCTCTTGATATACATTTATATATATACATATATGTATGAACACATACACCTACATATAATTTTGTGTGTGAACCATTTGGGAATAAGTTGTAGGCATGACAGTTGCAATTTTCTTTTCTTTCTGTGGTACTGGAGATTGAACTATAGACTGAGCTACATTTCCAGCCCTTTAAAAATTTATTTACTTTTATTGATTGATTGATTGATTGATTGATTGTACTGGGGATTGATTGAACCCGGGGACTTTGTACTGAGCTCCATCCCCAGCCCTTTTTAAATTTTGTACTTTGAGACAGTCTCACTAATCACTGGGTTGCCCAGGCTGGGCTTGAACTCTACTTCTTCCTCTCTGGAATAATTTCTGATTACTGCCTCAAGTGCAGGGAAATCAGCATTCCTTTGAATTCATTTAAATATAGGTAGTGTTGTTACAGCCTATTAACATAATTAAAAAGAAACCAACCACTTACTTCATTGTGGCCTTTTAATACCTTTACTGCCTCTGTGGAAGATGGATTTATTCTTTTGGTTGTCACATTTACAGGGGGTAAAGATCACAATTTTATGAATCTTTGTTTAGAGGTCATGATAAGGTAGCTGAAAGGGACTATCTATGACTTAATTTAATAGTATACTTCCAAAATGTGAAAATTGCACACGGTAGTCCAGGTTATCTCTGGTACCTAAAATAATAAATTGCTCTGAAACAATACATGAAGTGATTGGCAGTTCAAACTTTTGTTTTTTATAATCTAAATTCATAAATCACAATAGTAATTATGAGAGCTTGACAGAAGCTTCTAGCTATATTAAAATAACGGTTTGGGCCAGACATGGTGACACATGCCTGTAATCCTAGCACTTGGGAAACTGAGGCAGGACTGCTGTGAGTTCAAGGCCAGCCTGGGCTACATAGTAAGTTCAAGGCCAGCCTAAACTACAAAGCCAGACCCTGTCTTAAAAAGAAAAAAAAAAAATGGTTGTATTCAAAGCCGCAGCTTTTATCTCTTGGTGAGTAAGCCTCCCTTTTGAGTTCTTTAACAGTGGTACTGTTTAGTAATTTGCACCTTCTGTGTTCTAAATAATGCTTTCACAATCTGAGTTGAAAAGCCCACATGTTTATTCTTTAGGAAAATGATCAGGCCTTTGTTAAAGTTTCTTCCAAAGATGCTCTTCTTCAGCATCCCGAAAAGTAGCTCTGCTATGCAGGGGATGCATAGTGGGCTAGCCAAATAGACCCAAACTTAATTTTGTTTTGGTCCAATGGGGAGAAAGAACAAGTTAGATTGGAAATTTCTGCGTCATCTGTTTTCCTATTTATCTCTGCAGGAGAGGAGAAACTCTTTGGGATTTTCAGATACAGAGATATGTTAGAATATTTTTTCCGGGGCTGGGGGTGTAGCTCAGCAGCACAGCACCTGCCTGGCAGTTGTGAGGTCCTGAGTTTGATCCCTGATACAAAAAACAATTTTTTTCCATTCTTGGGAAATGATTAATACTGCAATAGATGAACTGAAACAATAGCAGATTTTCTGAGATGTAGGGGAGCTTTTGTGAGGATAGAACTTCCACAGTTTATAAATATTCTGCCTAGAGATTATCTGAATACTCCTTTGTACAAAATGATGATTACTTCTGACTTATTCCTTGACTCTTCTTTAACCATCTACAAAGACATTTAAAAATTTAAGAATGATTTATTTGTACTAAAAATTGAAACCATACAGAATTTCCTCCATCATTCTATTCCTGCCTCACCCCACTCCTCAGAGGTAGTCCCTGTTGGTAGTCTGATACATTACCTCCTAGGCTTTATTATGAGTATTTTCATATGTGCATACACCTCAGACTTTTTAAATGACATCATTCTGCAATTCTCTTTTGCACATTTATTTTTCTTCCACTTAATACAGTAGGCCTCCCTTATTTGTAGATTCACTTTTCATGGCTACCTGTGTCAACTGCAGACTGAAAATGATATATTTTGACAGAGAGACCACATTCACATAGCTTTTAGCACAATATATTGTCATAATTGTTCTATTTTATTATTAATTGTTAATCTTGTATTATGTCTAATTTACAAATTAAACTTTATCATAGGTATGTATAGAAAAAATGTAATTTTTTTTTCTTAAGTTCTTTTAAAAATGTAGTATTATATAGGGTGCAATTCTATCCAGTTTCAGGCATCCACTGGAGCTTTGAAATGTAGTATTCAAATCATCAGCATGACTCTAAAGGTTCATCATATGATTAAGACCTGTCCATTAACAAAATACTGTCCACCTGGGATTGGGAGTAGAGATAATGACTGGAGGAACTTGATATCAGTACAGTTTTGACTATTCAGTCAGCTCAGACTTTCCTAGAAACTGGGTGGGCAGTATTGGAATTGGAAGTCAAAGCTGGTAAAATGTAAAGATGTCATATTTCTTGAGGGCTTTTAGAAACTTGCTGATTTTAAAGATGTGGGTCTGCCATACTTGGAGGTGTAGATTGTTATGTGTGACAAAGTGGTAGCTGGAGAGTAATAAATACCACAAATGAAAAGCATCTTTCTCTATCAGACATAAATGAACCATTGGGAGTAATAGCTCAGCCCTCATTGGAAATTCCACTTTTGCCCTCGACTAATGAATTAAATAAAAAGATGACACCAGTTCATAACAAGGAGGAACAAAAGACTTCATCTAAGTGTTACATACAAGTCACTGGCATGACTTGTGCTTCTTGTGTAGCAAACATTGAGCGGAATTTGAGACGAGAAGAAGGTAAGATGTTTTTCTAAACTTTTAAAAAATTTTCATGCATGCGTATAGTTTGATTATATCCATCACCCTATTACCTCTATTTATAACCCCTACCCTCTCCTCTTTATTCCCTTCCTAAAAGGTAAGACACTCTTAAAGCTTGTTATTTTGTATACTTATTTGAGAACTCTGTCCCTTTTGTTTTCTTAATTTATGCTTGTAATCATGTTTGATTCTTGCCAAGACCTTATAAAGACTATCATTAATACATGAACAACCCTGATTTCATGTTTTTGTTACTCTTATTTACCTCATGATTACATTTTAATGGCAATGAAATTTATAGAACAATAGCAGAAGGAAATATACAGTGTTACTATTCTTCGTGGACCATGGCTACAGTGGATTTAAAGAAACATAAAACTTTCTGTTAAAGCTATTCTTAAAATTGACAACTAGAATCTCTGAATTTCAGTATTAACATACCTGGAACAAGCCCCAGACCAAAACAAAGTTTGTTTAGAACTATATTGTTGTCTTATACCAGTTTCATCTCTGATCTTTGCTTGTGGTTACTTAATATTGCATACAGGTTTTAATTTTAGGTTACAAAAATCTTTGAAAAACTATAACAGTGTGTATTCAATCACACTCAGATATTTTAGCTTATAAATTTGCACTTTGAAATATACCATAGTAGATTTGTTAACCATATATATGTAATTATGTTTGAGACCAAAGTCTTACATTTGGTACTTAGGCTGCCTTAGCTCTGGGTGTTTTAGTGATATATATGCTATTATTCACAAGGGTTGAATAAGGAAGTAATAATTAATGTAAGCTTATCCAACTATTGTGGAAATAACTCCAAGTGTATGTAGTAATCTTATCACCTTATATACTAAGGCCAGAATATTACTTCAACAAAATATATGGTATGCAGAACCATCTTCAGTTTAATATTATCTTGTCTGCATTTTGTTATTTCCGAATCACTTCATTTCAACCCCCATTATTTCTAATTAGAAAGCAGTTAAGGTTATATTACCCTTTGGTTAATGAAAAAAAGAAAATGAAAGCAAAAGGAAGCTTGCAAAGTTCCTGTTTGAGAACTATTTTCAGGTGATTTAGAAATTCCCTTTTCATGAAACAAGAAATGGCTGTGCCAGTTAAAATCTTTTTTTTAAGTTTGTTAAGTTGATTCTCCCAATTACTCTGTCCTACCACCTCCCAATGCAATTATGAACACTATCAGCCTAGTTGGAGTCACTGAACTCACTTTTTACAAAAATTAAGTATTATTGGTCTTTCCTCAATTAAGTCTGCATTATATTTCTAAAAATGAATAGAAGTACTGAGAATGTAGATCAGTGGTAGAACACATGCTTAGCAATGTGTAAGGCCCTGGGGTCAATGTTTAGCACCAAAAATAGTAAATGAAACAACTCACCAAAAAAAAAAAAAAAAGAATAGAGGCTAGGCGTGGTGGCACAAGCTTATAATTGCAGCACTTGGGAGACTGAGGCAGGAGGATGGCTGGAAGTTAAAGGCCAGTCTGGGCTGCATAGCGAGTTCAAGGCCAGACTAAACTACATAATTAGACCCTCAAAAAAAAAAAAGAAGGGAAGCTGAGCATGGTGGCACATACCTATAATCCTAATTACTTGGGAAGCTGAGGTAGGAGGGTCATAAATTTGACACCAACCTGAGCTATTTAGGGAATCCCTGTCTCAAAATAAAATACAAAAAAGGGTTGGGGATATAGCTCAGTGGTAGAGCACTTGCCTAGCGTATGTAAAGCCTAGGTTCAATCCCCAGTACTGGAAAAAAGAAAGAAAGAAATAGTTCTAACTACAGTTTGAATAATTACATTTATGTAAATAATTGAACTTCTATTTTTGAAATTTAAAAAATGTTTCCTTCCATTTCTGTTTGGCTATGAATTACATTAAACTGAAACAGGATTTTCCTCTGTCTTCCTCTGCCACTCCTTCCCCCTAGTACTGGGGATTGAACCCAACACCTTTCACTGAGCTATATCCCTACCCCTTTTTATTTTGGGACAGGGTCTTGCTAAGTTGCCCAGGCTAGACTTGAACTTTTGATTTTCCTGTCATAGTTTCCTTAGTAGCTGTAATTAGAGGCATGTGCTGCCATGCCTTTGATGGGTATAAATCTCTTATTACTGATACTTTCCTGTGAACTGATCATCTGAGTTATTTGGGTACCACAAAGACCAAAATGTAAGTAGTTTATGTAGATAGGTTATATCAGGTACTTTAAAAACTAACATCTGTTATTAAATGAATATTTAATAAGTTTGTCTTTGTTATCACACCCCAGAGGTGACCTATGGACTGTTGATCCCCATTATCTGTCAGGTAGCTACCAAGTACCATAGATTCCTAGAAAAGGCTGCTATTTCTGCTATGTGGAATTAATTATATTCCTGGCAGTAGCAACAATGTCTGGCTTAGAGAAGTGGAACAATTGTTAACAAAAGTTTTCATCAGCAAACAGCTTTACTGCCGTAAAATGAATTCTTTTACTTTATTAACAAGTTGTCTGGCACTTTTTTTTCTAGCAATAACAGCTTTTAAGATTAGTGTATGTGAGACAATAAAACTCAAGAATTCTAAGTCATGACTATTATTTGATAATATTATAAGGTGTACAAGGTATAGTCTTGTATTCTTTGCTATAATTCAATATTTTAAGGACTCAGATCTATGACTCTGTCTTATTAGCTTCTAAAATTCTTTATTAAGACATAGTCTTAATCAATTGCAATTCATAGACCTTATTTGGATCCCAATTCAAACAAAAATACAGTTAAACTAATAAACAGTTATAAGAAAATTGTAGAAATGTGAATACTGCCTGGATTTGTTTTCCTGTACTGAGCATTGAACCCAGGGCCTCACACATGCTGAGCAAGCACTCTACTGAGCTATATCTCAAGCACTTTTATATTTTTATTTTGAGACAGGGTCTTGCAAAGTTGCTCCGGCTGGCCTCCAACTTGTGATCTTCATGCCTCAATCTCTTGAATGATTGAGGTCACAGGATGTGCCACCATACATGACTTTCCTGGGTATTTGATGATGTGGAAGAATTATTTTAGATGTGAAAATGATATTGTGTTTATTCTGTGTGTATATGGTGCTAGAGATTGAATCCAAGGCCTTGTGGATGCTAAGCAAGTACTCTACCACAGAGCTACATCCCCAGCCCTATTGTTATTTTTAAAAGAATTTTTATCTTTTAGAGATACATGTTTAAATATTATACATGAAATGATATGTATAGGATTTGTTTCATCGTAATCTGGATAGAAGGAGGGAAGTGGAGTGGATAGGAATATAGATTTAAAAAGAGCCAGGCATATACCTTTAGTCCTAGTTCCTTAAGAGACTGAGGCAAGAGGATCCCTTGAGCCTAGGAGCTGGAAGCCAGCCTGAAACATAATGAGACTTTGCTGCTAAAAAACAAGACAAAATGGAAATGATTAGCCAAGTATTGATAATTGTTGCAGTTAGGTAATGGGTACATCCAGTTTGTTATGTTTTTCCCTCTTTTACATATACATAATTGAAACTATCCATAATAAATTTAAGAAAATAAGGCCACCTTTTCAAATAGTTTTATTTGGTTTGAAATTAAGAGTTAAGTCATAAATTTCTGCAGATTCATTTTAATCCTTTCTCAGTTAAGAGAAGTATACTAAAAAGTAAGTATAATGTTACTTTTTTGGTTTTGTTTTTTGAGACAGGGTCTTGCTGTGTAGTTCAGGATGGCCTTGAACTCACTGTATATAGCCTAGGCTGGTCTTGAATTCAAACCATTCCTCCTGCCTCAGCCTCCCAAGTGCTGGGATTATAGGTGTGTGCTACCACAACCAGCTTAACATTACTTTTTTTTTTTTGGTACGGGGATCGAATTTGGGTCCTTGGACTTGCGCAGCAGACAGCGAAACCACTGAGCTAAATCCCCAGCCCTTAACATTACTTTTTTAAAAAATAAAGGCTAAATGGAAGATACTAAGGAGTACTTATAACATCACTCTTTTTTTATAAGGACTGTAATCTGTATTGTTTTTCTTATCAATGCTCCTAGGAATATATTCTGTACTTGTGGCACTGATGGCTGGCAAGGCAGAAGTAAGGTATAATCCTACTATTATACAACCCCTGCTGATCACAGAGTTCATCCGAGAACTTGGATTTGGTGCCACTGTGATAGAAACTGCTGAAGAAGGGGATGGTGTTTTGGAACTTGTTGTAAGTAAGAATTTTTGTGTGATTAATAAGATTTCTAGGGAAAACTTGGTGAGAGTTTGTAAAAGAGTTCTTAAGTAAGGGCTAATAAAATAAGTTATATAATGAAAATCAAGGAAACTGGAAAATGGAAGGATGAGATATTACTTAATGGTAGTCTTCAAGTATGAAATGTAATTGTCATATCTCTATTAAGAATGAAAAAATAAGAATTGGGTTTGAATGAATAAATGAAAGTCAACTTTTAAAATGTTGGATGATTCCTATCTAGTAACGTGTAAAGGAACAGATCTGGATGCACTAAAGACTTAAATTTTATAAACAGAGTTATAAATCCAGGTGTAAGGCATACTGGTTTAAAATGGTCATTTTATCCAACCCAGAAAATCAATTGCTAGAGTTCTGTCCTATAAAAATATGATCATGTACACAGTTTTATATATACATATATTTGTGTGTGTGTGTGTATGTGTGTGTGTGTATGTTTTACTGGGGATGAAACCCAGTGCCTTTGCACGGTGCTATATCCTTGGCCCTTTTTAGAATTTTAAATTTTGAAATAGGGTTTCATTAAGCTGGTAAGTTGCCTAGGAGGAACTTGAACTTGTGATCTTCCTCCCTCAGCCTCCTAGAGTTCTGAGGTTACAGATAAACTCACCCAGCCACACCCAGCTACAAGGTTATATTTATAATACAATTTTCAGAGCAAAAATTTAAAACTAATTTAAATGTCTTTTAATATGAATTGGTTATATAAATTATCTATAGATATTTTATAGACTACAATACAATAGAATAAAATAGATCTGCATTAACTGACAAGTAGCACTCTTTAGGACATATTAGTCACAGAAAACAAATTCTAGTATGATATGTATGATGCCATTTAAGTAAAAATGCAAAAATAAGTACATGTGCTTATGTAATATATATGTATATAAACAGGACCACATGGTTTATGCAAATGATTAGTAGTATTCATCTGAGGGAGAGACTGAGATTGGGGAAAAAGAGCAAAGAGAAACTTGCATTTTTTCAATATTGTTTTAAAATTTTTTTAGTACTGGGAGTTGAATTCAAGTTCTTTGCACTACACCCCAGCCCTTTTAAAAATTTTGTATTTTGAAATGGGTTCTCAATAAGTCACTAAGTTGCCCAGGCTGGGCTTGACCTTGCCATCCTTCTGTCTCATCTTCCCAGAATGTGGATTACAAGTGTGCGCCACCACGCCTTAATTAATTTTTTAAACTAGACAAATAAAACTTGAATACATTCTACTTCTAAACGTTTAAAATCCAGGCCTGGTGGTGCCCACTTGTTATTCCAGCCCTCTGGGAGATTGAGGCAGGAGGATTGCAAATTTGATCCCAATCTGGGCAATTTAGCAAGACCCTGCATCAAAATGAAAATAAGAAAGGAAAAGCCACAGCACGCCATTCCTCAGCTCCTTCGCGGCTGCCCTGCTGCTTATTCTTTGACCAGTGAGATCAGATTTGGGGTTGACTCCGGACCGGATGGCGAAGCCGCCTTCGTTTCTCTCCGCAAAGGCCGTAGGATCATTTGCCTATCTTACAATCCAAAGACAGAACCCCACAGATCTTAACCAGGGCTATTGACACATTGCATTGACACAAAAATGAATTTTTTGAGAAACATGGAGAGGAAGGTGTGGAAGCGGAAAAGAAAGCTATCTCTCTTCTTTCTAAATTACGGAATGAAATGCAGACAGATAAAACAATTGTGGCCTGGTTGAGGACTGTGCTGATACTGACCTTTGGAATCAGCACCTGGAGTACCAGTGCAGTCTTTTAAATGAAAGCAACGGACAGCCAAGTTGGTTCTGCTCACCATGGTTGTTTGTGGAATGCTACGTGTATCGTCGGCTTCATGAAGCGATTATCCAGAGGTTCTGGAGAAAATTTCCAAAGAGGATTTCCAAAAGTGCTTTAAGTAATGGCAGCATCCTAGGAATAAAGGTGTAGCTTCCCATGGGACTGAGTGACAGAAGGAAGCAGCCATCATTTGGATGTATAAAGGCTGTCCACCAATCAATGACTTTGATGTATTTAAAGAATCCAAAGACCAAAATTTCTTTGAGTCACAGGAATCTATCACTGCATTATGCACTTACTTGCAAAAGTTGATAGGAACTATTGAAGACCTAGATGAAACTCAGCTGAAAAATGAGTTTTTTAAACTTCTGCAGATTTCACTCTGGGGAAATAAATGTGATCTATCTTTATCAGGTGGAGAAAGTAGTTCTCAGAAGACCAATGTAATAAATTCTTTGGAAGACCTAAAACCTTTCATTTTAGTGAATGATCTGGAACATCTTTGGTTATTGCTTAGTAAATGCAAGAAAACCAGGGAAGAAGGGTCCATAGATAGAGTGTATATTATCCTGGACAATTCTGGGTTTGAACTTGTTACAGATTTAGTATTAGCTGACTTCTTGTTGACCTCTAAATTGGCTACTGAGATTCATTTTTATGGGAAAGCTGTGGTTTGTTTCAGATACATGACTTTAATTGGGTAATTGAGCAGATGAAACGCTGTAATCATAAGTGGATGTCCAAGTGTGGGATTGACTGGGAAAACTACATCAAAGTGGGTAGATGGGTTTATCATGATCATATGTTTTGGACTCTGCCTCACGAATACAGTGCAATGCCCCAGATTGCCCCTAACTTATATGCTGAGCTGCAAAAGGCATGTTTAATTTTATTCAAGGGTGATTTGAATTTTAGGAAGTTGACAGGGGACAGAGAATGGGACTTTACTGTTCCATTCCATCAGCCTCTGAATGGCTTCCATCCCGCTCCTCTGTGCAGCATAAGAACATTAAAAGCGGAGGTTCAGGTAGGTCTGCAGCCTGGGCAAGGAGAGCAGCTCACAGCTTCTGAGCCTCACTGGCTGACCACCGGGAAGTACGGCATATTTCAGTTTGATGCTCCACTCTGACTAGGCCTCTGGAATCCCAGTGTGAGGAAGATCGGAGAAGCACCTTTCCCTTCGCGGAAAAGCAGTGTGTGAACTGAGCCACAGACTGCGCTGCTTTGGCTCCAGAAAGCTTAGCTTCTCTGTGCTCATCTCTACACACTCTGGGTGGTTTTTCTTTGGAATATTTTGCCTCACTGCAATGTTTTGGAAATAGACGGTTTTAAGTTAGTTATAGATTTTTACATTTACTTTGGAATTTTAATGTCTATTTCACATTAAGTGAATAATTTCAAGAGGTTTTGATGAACTTATTTTTAATTGGATAGAAAGCAAAATCTAAGTGAATTCTGCTTTTTAAGTTTGTAAATCCTATTTTTTCTTAAATAGTAAGTACACTGCATGGTATTTAATATCCTAGGAGGAATGGAATTTTATTTAACTTCATTTCAGGCTCTTGAAATAATGGCTCAGTGAAAAATATGCATTTTAATGCTTCTGTAAAGAGATGCGTTTCTTACAAATGTGATGCTTGAACACATAAAAGGAAAACTTGCCTCATAAGTTGATTATAACTTTTGTTCTCCATGGATTTTATTTTACTACAATAGCCTGTTTTTTTGGTATGTATTTGTAATTTTGATTGACCGGTAAAATGGATATTAAGAAACAGAAAATTGAACAGAATGAAACAAACAGTATTTGAAAAAATGTAGCATCTTTTACATTCTATTTATGATACCCATAATCAACATAAAACACGTTTTAAAGGAACAGACTTTTAGTTTGCAATTTTAGAAAAAATGCTTGATATAGAAAAGATTCCTATGGATTGAATTTGGATACTATCGTTCTTTTTTTATATTACACATTGTAGTGATCACATCACAGGTACTAATAACTGTAAATTGGTTTGTTTTGAAACAAATTGGAAATAAACTTGGAAATGTTTTCTTGCAAAAAAAAAAAAAGAAAAGAAAATAAGAAAGGTGAGGATGTAGTTCAGTGCAAAGGCCCTGGGTTCTATCCCCAATACTAACACTCACACATTAAAACAAACAAACAAACAAAACCCTTAATGTTATGCTAAAATAAGCTCCAGTTTAAGCAAAAATTTGAATGTAAATAATAAAACCATTATTTATCAAGAAATGTTCCTTGGGCCACAAACATTGTTTAGTGGTACAATGCTTGCCTAATGTGTACAAGGACCTGGATTCATTCCCCAGTAGTGGACAAAAATTTTTTCCCAGGGAAAAGGCTTTTTGCATTCATGGAGCTCTAGTCAGTGCAAGCAGAGATTTTTGCAAATGGATTTTTTTCAGGGAACCATCAGACAGGTCAAATAATGACAGAGATGTTTAATGCACCATTTTTGCTGATATCCCTTAAGTAGATATACTCAAATTCTTCTTACTTTATTTTATGGCTTTTGGTCAATTTTCAGAGTATTTCAGTGGTTGTCTTTGACCTTTTGCCAGTTTTATTCTTGCTCTTTTTTTGTGGTACTGGGGATTGAACTCTGGGCCTTGAGAATATAATGAGCTACATCCTCAGCCCTTTAAAAAATTTTGAGACAAAGTCTTGCTAGGGTAACCAGCATAGCTTTGAACTTGAGATCCTCCTGCCTCTGTGTCTTTTTTGGTTTTTTGAGACAAGGTTTTGCTATGTAGTTCAGGCTGGCCATGAACTCATTATGTAGCCCAGGTTGGCCATTCTCCTCCCTCAGCCTCCCAAGTGCTGAGATTATAGGCATGTGCTAACATGCCCAGCTGCCTCAGTGTCTTTAGTAGCTGGAATCATAGGCATGTACCACTGTACCTGGCCTATAATTGCTTTTTGAGGAAAGGATCTGCACATGTATTATAGAATTTAATGCTTATCTACACTGTAATTGCACTTAAAATATAGGGAATAATACACTTTCATATATACAAAATTGGAACACTTTTGTCAGCCATTAACTTTCTCTAACAATATACCTAAGCAGGATAAAAAAATACAGAGGAAAACAAGGCACTGGATTAAGAAATAATGGTTGTTGGGTTGGGGATTTAGCTCAGTGG